TATACATACATACATACATACATATATATATATATACATACATACATACATATATATATATATATACACATACATACATACATATACATACATATACATATACATATATATATAATTTGCAAATGATTAGTCATGAAATGATGATTAGTCATGAACAAATGGCTTATAAATGACTTATTGCCAAGTATTATTATAAAAGTGTTACCAGATATGCCTTCCATACAGTACATGGGTTATTTTAGGTCAATAATACGAAATGCAGTGTCAATGTATTTTACCTATCTCATAAAGTCCAAGTGTATCTCTGTCAGAACTTAAACCATTTTTATTATTGCTGCCTAAATCTAGAACATGGTTTGATCAACCCATTTTATATTTGAATGTGAAAACAAGTTTTTTAGTAAATAAAATACTTCTTGCATTGTAGAAATATGCCTTTTATTATTTTGTGGTCATAGAAAATCGACACAACAACCCGGTAAGGAGCATGTTTTAACATGAGATACATATTTTCATTTTATTAATGAAAAATGCCAACCTTGAGCTGTTAATGTACAAAAGCATGTCACTGCTCTTCCCTCTAAAGTCAAGTAATACGAAGCAGTAATACCGGAGAAGTCATGGCAATAAAAGAACATTTCTAACAACATTTCACTTCACTGACACTGAATCAAATTGAAGCAACTGACTTACATTTCCAAAATTGTAGAACATTTTAGAGGATTGTTATTTTTTTTTATATATTGCATATAAAACACTTTGTATATTCCATACATTATCAGTACCAAATTTCGGTCTTTTTGCAAGACTTTACTATTTACTGTATTTTACATCCTCCATTGCAAATCACACATCCCATATATTTACACCAGGCTCCTGTGAACATCACCAAAACATCCCGACTTCCAATAGGAATAAAATGTGTAACAAGTAAGTTCTCTTTCCAATACTTTTCATATGAACAGCAACTGACAGTATATTTACTAAAAATCACTTTGGTATAAATTGCAATTGGCTGATTCTTAATTCTTAATGGGAATGAAGTAAAACACTGGTGGAAATGAAATTTTAAATTTTCAGTCATGTTTCCAAGATGTTAAGAAGTGTGGCCAGATTTGGGATTTGTCGTCTGCTAAACCCCGACCAAGAAGTTACTTACAAGCATAGCTTAGCAACTGCAACTAGGCACAGCAAGCCTGACAGGCTTTGGATTTCTCAACACGCATAAACTAATGAGAGCATATTACAGATCAAAAGGTTTTGCTGGGTAAACCAAAAACCCAAAAGACCAAATATGTAAGGAATGTGTCTGATCGAATGTAGGCTTCATGCAGACGTTAGCATGCTACTGCCTAACGTTTCCTACCTTCAGTGGTCATCTGGCAATTTACAAAAGAATCCAGCCTAAGTTGTGTCAGAGTTACGTCTGCCAAACTCACAAGTTGTCTCTCATTGGTACATCCTTTTCTCTCATGAAAGTGAATTATACTGTTACGATATATTTCATATGATCAGCAACATCCAAACCAAATCTATATTATAACAAACACATTTTGAATTATAATACTAGGGGATATTACCAGCTGTGACGCTCTGAGTGGGTGGCCCTGGCCGTCACCATCTAGGCAGTGAAGACAGCATAACTCCCAGCTGATCCAAACATGGGGTTGATCGCTGGTGGAGCTGAGGCGGGTCCAGGTGACGCTGCAGAGGAGACAGCTAGAAGCTAGCCACCTGGGACAGCACTCGCCTGTCACTTAAAACAGCCACACCCTTAATTATGCCTGACTTTACGCCCTAAATATAAGTTCAACGGATAAGTCCTATATAAATGTTTATTTCTGCTGTAAAGTTGGGCATTTTAAGATGTGGGTCACAGGGCATTGACTCGCTTTTGCCTTCATTTCTCAACACCGGAGGTTGTCACTGGGATTTGGCGTTTGCATTCATTTACACAATCTAATAACAGACAGCTAGTCAGAGTTCTCGTTTCAGTCAACAAAATCCAGAAAGGAGAATCTGCTTTGTTTCATTTGTGTTTGAAATCAAAGACCTATTGTTTCAAAAAGATACAATTTGTGAACTAAATATGTGCAATGCGACACAGGCTTAGCAACAGTAGCAAGGCTGGGCGAGGCTTAGCAAACACTCAATACCTGCACACGGTGGATATTAGTATTATTAAAATACTTTAGTCTTATTCTGGTACACAGTAATAGCACTCTTAGGTCAGAATGCATTTTGCTTAGCAGCATCTGTTAAAATGATTTTGCAAACTTGACACGCAAGTGACTCAGAGAATTACCTCACAGAGCAAAAGCACAAACAAGCTGAACATACACTGCTGCATGACATGAAGCTAATCAACATTTACAGCTGTTTAAATGTTCATTGTAGGTGCTTCTTAGTCATTCGCCTCACAATTCACACTCATCGTGTCCATTTTCCTGTACCATCTCAGCCGGGGATCACCACCTGTCATCATCTTCGGTTTCTCACAATACTTCCCTTATACTGACTCCATCTTCAGCAAGACTGATCATCCCTTAGTTTGTTAGGAGTCACAAATGGATCAGTGGGGGGGAGTGAAGATCCCAGTACAGATTTCATCTCTGAGTCAGTCCTCAGGCATGTAGCCTCTGGAACAGTGTGTGAGTTAGATGGTGCAAGTGTGCATGTGCAGAGCTGTCAGACAGCACTGGGGTCAGATCTCTATGTCCACTGGCCTGATTTCTCCAGTCTTATTGTCCCGTACCCAAAGCTCTCTGTCTTTGGCTGGGTCCACACACTGCAGCAGCTGGTCCACCGGCTCCATCGTCTGGACAAAGAAAGAAGAGTTGAAGCATCGCCTCAGGTGATATCTAATGTTCACGTCGCTCAGTGGTGTAGGTGGGGTAATGATGGGATAGATTCAGCTCAAATGTTATTCTCCCATAAGGGAAATTTGCTTGCTTTTAATGTACAATATACGCTAAAGTAAAATATACATAAAGTAAGAGCCATCATGAAGTGCACCAAAGTGTGCGATAGAAAAAGTCAACCAAAGCCAGGCAGAAGTACTGCTGTGCAATCTGGCATCAGATTTTGCAATCAAATGTTTATATTATACATAGCCTTTTTTAATATCAACTCTTTCTCTGTTTTCTTACCTCTTGGCCTGTTTAACTGCTGAAATTCGAATTTCCTCTCGGGGATCAATGAAGTCTTGTTTATCGTAAAGTCTCCCAAACATTTTAGTTAGGCCAAGGCCTATACTTGAAAGTGACTTGACTTCTACTTCTACTTACACACATATGAATAAAAGTTATTCATAAAAATGTATTCTGACGTAACAACACTTAAGGTGTCTCTGTAGCCTCAGAGACAGAGGCGAGCACACACATTTGGAGGCATGTTTTGGAGTGACCTTACACTGTAGCATTGATTCTAACCAGATACATGTTCGTTCTCTCAGTGGCAGCCCTAACCTCTGACTGTGGAGTAGTGTTTCTTAGTAGTTGTGATCGTGAGTTACCTACTTACACTTTGGTTGAACATGTCTGTCTCATGTCGAAGGGTAGTGTACTGACACAGATGCTGTCTGATCATCTCCACCCGCTCCAGCTCCAGCCGCTCCAGCTCCTGAGGAGAAGGGCAGTTAGTAATGACTGAGTCATGGAGAAATCTCTACTCTTCCATCTGTAGACACTGAGCAGACAAGACAGTCAGCAATGCTGTTAAGACTTACAGTACAGTGACTTAACAAGAATCATTCGCAAATTCCCTGTAAAATGTTCACACATTCCATGAAAGCAGTTAAAGAGGAAATCTTTTGAATGAATGTAAAAAGTCAGAGGGAGCCCTGATTCCTTGCTTTTGGGAAAGGCCCAAAACATAAGCTGTGTTCACACTGCGGCTGTTTGATGCTTTTGTCGCTCATAGTGTGAACATAGCAATACACACTGTGCATTAAAGAGGAGTTCCCCATTTCTCTTCAGATATTGTTGAACAGTGTTTGTAGGTGCATTTTGCATGTGTGGATGATTATAGAGGTCCATCAATTATATTAATAGAAACATAAATCTGAAGCTCTTTCTACTGAACTGGAAAAATGATATTTACATTATGTGTTTTGCACATTGCAAAAGTTGTGGAGAAGAGCAGTTAGTAATGACTGAGTCATGGCAAAAATCTCTACTCTTCCATCTCTACTCTTGGAAGAGTAGAGATGGAGATCATGGAGAAAATCTCTACTCTTCACATTTTTTGTGAAAAAATGTGTTAAAGCAAAGAAGTTTTTATCAAGAAAACAAATACACACACAAACACACACCAAACCACACACATCAAATGCATGATTTCTTACCAGACTTGTGGTGACCATCTCCTCAAACCATTTGGACTGAGACTGGTTATACAGGTCGACACAGCGCATGAGATCGTCTCCTGTTAGAGACAATGAATAGAAAACAATGAGACCTGACAAAGTGTCTCTGCCAGCAATGTTTCTCTGGGTGTCCTGCACATTACAATGCCCCATTTCTGCACTAGGTGGCGCTACTTCCCACCTTTTCACTCACGGCTTTTGCACAACACTCATGTACAGTTGTTGTTCACTCAGCTGATGCGATTATCCCGAACAGTGCAGACAATCTGGACTGATAATAGATTCCATTATGATAACATAAGCAATGATAGAAGGAAAGGTCTAATCCGTTACTGCCTGTATGCTGCTGACAGCAAAACAAACACTAATCATCAGAGATTGAATCAGGGAGGAAATGATGCGGATCATTCTGCAAATGACTCTCAATCTTCTGCAGTCAATGTCTGCTGCTATATCTGCTACGTATTATTCACGTTAATACTGTACTTTTTAAGTGGGAATGCTAAATAGCTCACAGCCAGTGTAGGACAGTGTTTCTCAAAGTGGAGTCTGGGGACCAAAAAGTAGCCTTCATCTGAAGTGTCACTGTTCCAGTGACAGCACAGGCGGTGGTATAATTCTTTATCGGTCATATCTAGTAGTAAACGACAAAGGATTGTAGTTTGCAGTCCAGGTGCTGGCCACTCAATCATAATGCAAAAACTCCAATTGGTTCAGCAAATTAAAGTTACTGTGAGGAACTTATCACTGGCTCTGCGCCTACATGAATCCATTTCTATAGAGTTATTCTTAATGCTCGTCATCGGGGCCTCTGGGTCCGATTGATGAATCAGACTCTGGCGCTCGGAAACACTCGCACTTTCATCCAGAACGGGAGACAAAATGAAGACAAAATGGAAGTTTCTTGTAGTAGCTGTAAATAGGTCAGGTATTGGATTAAGAAGGGAACGTCATCTTTTTAAATAGCTAGCTACTGATGTACCTTAGCTACATCCAGCACATGGCCACAATACGGGGATAGGTGTGGGTGGGATGGACGCAGCTGTACAGGATGTCCAAAGTCAACTTACAAAAATAACTTAATTCGAATGTTTCTGTAAAATTACTACAGCTTCAATGTCGGCTGAAAATAATGTTGGATGGAAATGTCACTACCGGGACGGCTGTGGCTCAGGAGGTAGAGCGGGCATTCCCAGCTCCTCCAGTCCGCATGTCGGAGTGGTGTGTGAATGTTTCAATTAGAATCTGATGAGCAGGTGGCACCTTGTACTGCAGCCTCTATCATCAGTGTACGTGTGTGCGATTTGGTGAATTTTGAGTGGTCAGAAGACTAGAAAGGTGTGTATAAATGCAAGTCCATTTACCATTTACCATTACTGATGTAAAAATAAGTTACAGAAATCATAGTTTGCTGATTTTACTGTAAAATACCTATATAATTAACTCCCTAACACTTAGTTTTCCACACTTTATTTACATAGTGTCAAATCACAACAGAAGTTACTTTGAGGCAGACTAGACTTGTACTCTATGATTTATTACCTCATTATCATTCACTTCACCAACATGATCTTGAACCTTTTACAGCTGATTTTTGACACTAATATATTTGGTTTCTGTGGAAACGTTGAGTTCCCCAATAGAATAAATAAAATAACAGTTTGTCCGTACAGCATGATTTTACAGTGACAGATCTACTCGCGGCTCTGTGGGATTTAAGAGGTCAAAAGGAACATACATTTAATTTTATGAGGACGGTGTGCACTGGCACATCACAAAGTTGTAGTGTTTGCTGCTGCTGCAGCACAGTTTACAGTAAACAGGGTCTTCAGGTCAGCTCAGAATATGCATCTATAAATAGAAAGTGAAGTAAAATGGGAAGAAAATGCAAAAGAGCTGCTGTTTATACTGCAGTTCATCACATCAGCCCTCACACCCTTAAAAAGACGAAATCAATGAATTCCCAAAAGTAATGAGGTCCATAAAGGGTGATCAAGGCCTTAGGTGGTTGATTTAACAGCATAAGGAAATCCCTGCTATAAGGAGACGTCCATGAGTTCATGCTGTGTGCAGTCCAAGGCAGCGAGAGCACTAGGCGATAATGAGTCTTTGTTATGAGCAGACAGATGCCGGGCTTTAGTTGTTTTGGCATCAGTCTCCTCTCTGCTTCCCTCACACTGTAGTCATCATCACTAGCAGCCAGACGCAATGAGCACTGTCAACAACTGCTGCTGTTTTTCTACCCGGTTGCATGAGCAGCACGGAGGAGGGATGACTCTGTGTGTGTGTGTGTGTGTGTATGTGTGTGTGAGGAGAGCCAGTTTGGATGGAGGATTGGTACTTGTGTGTGACAGCATGTGGTCGTGCCTGGTTGAGTCATGACATCACACTTGGGCTGAGAGTCTACATCTGTTTACTCTTAGCCAGTCACTTTCCTCAGGTCGCACACCTATTAAACACTTTTACAAACACACCCGGCTGCTGCTAATGCTACTTTTCCACCCCGCCTCTTTTCCCCCTCGCACCCTGACATGCATACTGTCAGAAACATGTGTGTGAATGTAGTCTGATGAGACTGGATTGCCATAAATAACTATGTAACAAGCTCATGTAGACTAAGCAAAAAACTGAAATCACATTTTTTCACATCAGATGAAATCTGACTTTTGATACCAAAGAAATAGCATGTGTTGCTAACTCTTTACCTGTTTTGGGAAGGAGGCTGTTACCAGACTTGTGGTAAAAAGTAACAGCGGCCACTATGGCCACAAGTGGTAATTACAGGATGATGCTAAGGGCTAAAGCGTAGTGACGGCAAACTGACTCAGTAAGTAAGTAGTCAGTTACACAACGTCTGTGTAAAGTTTGCTAACATGAGCCACCAAACTCAAGAATCTATCATTCAACCTTGACTTCCTGGAACATATTTCATGTCCTACTGAAGCTCAAACAACACAGCCCTGCTCTGAACTAACAGAGGGCTGTTTTTGATCTCAACGCCCGCTGAGAGTGTAGCAGGAAAAGCCACGACTGTACTGAATTGAGCAGTGATGTGTTTTATTACTCCTGAATTCAACTTTATAATTGTAAGAGGAAGATTGTGTTATGTCATTTTTCAAAAGTTTGACATGTATATCAGTCTCTTAATCTAAAAGTCTAAAAGATATGAACAGCAGAATTTCACTCAATAAATCAGCAGAATAAGTCGGATCAAAATATCTCTGTAGTAGATGAAATTACATGTACATGTGTGTATGTCCCACAAGGACTGTCAAGTTAGTCCACTGCCACGCCTCTCTGAGAGTCTGGGTGAACACAGTCACTCAGGAATATTCCTGACCCCCCTTCTTCCCTCCTCCAACCCTCTATTAATAAAAACTCCCAGTCTGGCTCGAAGTGCTGATAAAGCTCATGACTCATGTGAAAAGACAAACACAGCATCTTGGTTCACAGCCAATCTCAAGTGACCGCTTCAATGAAGGGCTAAAGAAACGAGGAGGAGGATATGGATTTATGTCCATTTACTAAACTCTGCTTCTGCCGTTGGTGGAGTCTGACTCTGGACTAAAGGCAGCGCTGACACAAAGCACTGCTGATCATCCTCAGATGATCTCTGATAAGAGACAATCCTACATCTGTTGGGGAAGGAATTCTAGAGGTTGATTGATGAAATCCAGATCCACATATCTACAATACAGAGTACTATCGCCTTCCAAAGGTATTTTCTTTGCACATTGTATTTAGTAATTGAGATTAATACAAACGTTTGTGCAAACTCATTTAAAGGCAAGGCCAAACAACCCAACTCTTTGGTCAAGAGCATTATACTTTCACAACGCCTGACCAGACGTCCGTGAAATTCATGGTCCCCAGAGGATGATTCCAGTGACTTTAGTGAACAACCAGGTCACAATTCCACCTTTTCTAACACTTTGCTCCATGATGAGGTATCAGAGCTTTTACACTTGCTGTGGATACATAGCTCCTCCGAGGATGACTCCTAATATTATTGATGAAACTCAACCTTTATTTCAGCACAAATTCTACAAAGCAGATTGCAAAGATATTTACCGAACACCATCGGATGTAATGGCCCTCTGCACAAACTTGACATTCAGCTACATCATGTTGGTTTCTTTTATGGTGGGGTGTAATAAACACTGAAGCCTTTCGGGGCCACTAGCAGTGAACTACAGTATCTGAGCTATATAGTAATAGCCTTCGCACTGACGGTCTTGTTTGCTTATGTAGCTTATATAGAGCCATCAGTCTTAAATTGGGACTATTTCATCACCAGTTCTTGTAGTGACTTTAAGTAAAAGTGGCTGGTGCTTTGATTGCTTCCTCCATTTTGGAATCTCCGGCTCTCCGTTCACTCAAAGGTCAGCCCTGTCAAAACGCTTTGCTATCAATCAAGTGAGTACAAAGTACTTTAGTGCACAGGGCTGCTCACCTGTACCGTTTCACTGTACAGGAGAGTTTTAGTGACACTTAAAAGCTTTACATTTTTTAAATGAAATTGGAAGCACTTAACATAATTACAAAAAACTTGTGGAACCTGTATTAACAGTGTATGATCTGTTTTAGCAGTCAACATACAGTCACTCCATATGTTTTACATTCACAAACACACATGAGAGTTTGCTGGGCAGTGCTCTCTGCTTCCTTAAACAACAAACACCTGAGTGAGACTTTGACACCACAGTGACCTGCAGTGTGATCTTTGACCCCTGGTTCTGACCTGCTTGTGTGGATTTCCTGCGGGCCTTCTTGATGTCTTCTTCAATTTTGTTGCTGAGTTTGATCTCCAGTTGCTGTGTCTTCAACTCCAGCTCTTTCTGTCTGTCAGCCAGTGCTTTACGGGCCTGCCGGAGGTAGAGTAAGGGACTGGAGTCACAGACACGCTCAGATCTCACAGTTGCACAGATGAAATCTTTTATCCTAAAGCAGGACGCCCTTCTATTGTCCTACTTTCGGCAAATGGCCTGCTTTTACATTTTTAGCTTAGTTTCAGGCAAAAAACTTTTCCCCCTTCAAACATAAACAAACATTTTCTAATTAAAGTGATAAAGTTTGTATCTAGTATAATGTTACAGTCTGCTTCTATTCATCACAGTGATGATGCCATCTGCTATGCGCTGTCTCGGTATTCATCCATAGCCAGTATCTTATTTCCTGTCCTGCTTTAAATGCTCAATTGTCCATCATACAAACAGTTTTGTCCCAGATTTGACAGATGATGTGAGACAGATTTGCAGTTGCCTTCAGGCTTCAGCCAATCGCTTTTCATTGTATGTATACAAAAAGCAGGAAACATTCCAAGGACGGGAAACAGCAGTCTGCTTATGGAGGAGATGTGGAATTTTAATCACCAGCAAGATGGTTCCTGAAATCTTGCTGCTGCCGAGTACAAGGACAGACCTGTGATACATTAGAGTTGCTGTGCTTGTTCTTATATCTGTATGTGTCGGTGTGTACCTTCTCCACCGCTGCATAGCGACCAAACAGTTGCTTCCGTAGGTCGGCAATGTGATGGTCGAACCTCTTCATGTCCTTCTTAAAGTTCTCCCTGAAGGCCAGAAAAGGCTTCTCCACTTCACTCTGGAGCTGCTCAAAATAAAAACACCAATAATTCAATGCCGACCAGCAGAAGATCATACGAGAGGACCTCAGGAAGGTTTGTTGTTGTGGAAGCCCCCAGCAAGAGCACCAGGCTTTGGAATACAAATCTACCAGGTCCGTCATGTGATGCCATTGGGCCCAAAAATACTTTTTCCCATAAACTTATATTAGGAGAGAGATGTCTGTAACTCAACGGATCGATTTTCTTTTAGGTAAATCAACTTTCCAGTATGAACACTTGATTAGCCCTTTATTATTTATTTATGCCATTAGGTCTTAAAAGTTGTAAAATGCACTGATAGACAAATCCAGGGTTATTTTCCTCCTTCCTTTCATGTGAATGAGAACGAGGCTGGACCGAGGGCTGGGAGGAGGGGAAAGGAAACATTCAGCGCATGACCTATGGGCCCATGGATGCGGAAGATTGCCAGAATATAATTTAATCTTAGTTATATACTCGGAAGTCAAACTTGTTTTGCTTAATAACTGAGCAACTTTCATAGGAATGAACAGGGTGCAGCCTCAAACGCTGTATCCAGTTCTCTTTATACATCCATGGCAGTTCCCCATCAGGTGAACCCTGTTAGCTCTGTCAGCACTGTTGCCTTTGTTTGCACTGTTAGTGCAGCTAGCATTGTTAGCTGCAAGCTGCCGGCTCAGCCATCGCCATGTGTAGAGCCGTGAAAAGGCACTTGATATGCACTGAAATAAAAAATGATAAATATTTGTGGTCTTATTAAATATGTCCTGCTCAGGACGAGAAGGTAACGTATGTAACTTTGGAGCCACGGTATCACATTATGTAACAAACCAATGATACGTTGGCAAGAAGTTGGACATCAATCAATTTGTTTTGCACCATACTTGTGTTTAAATGATAATATCAGTTACTGTAACTTCAGGAAGGAATAAAATATTACCTCATGCAACAAGCTAACCTTTAACCACACATTACTTAACTAACTTCAGTGACAAAAAGCTAAACGTTAAATTCAACTGTACTCATGTTAAAAGGCTAAGATTTACTTCAAACACTTCTGAAGACTAAAGATGAAGGTATATTACCTGAGCTTATCCTGAGCTTAAAGAAAAACGATTGGCTTAACCCTATGGCATTCTATACTGCATCAATTAGCCCAGCGGCTAGCAGACTCATATCTTCTCTTACTTGGTTCAGGTCAGTGCATTTACCGACAGAACAAATTTTGGTTGCGAGAGCAATAAGTTAGCGTACTACCAAGTGTTTGAATGTCACTCTGCTCTCACACGCACACACAGTCTGTGCAAAGCCCTGCCCTCGATAAAACACAGAGATGAGGAGAGGAGAGCAACTAGGGGAATCACTGAGTGAGCAACTGTCATTGGAATAAATGGGGCACAATATCCAGTTCTCTAAATACATCCATGCTTCACTCTGGGTGTCCACAAGAGTGAGGTCTGAAAGCTTTGCATTTTCTGAGGCAGTATGAGCTTGTTCGTCTGATAGACTCACACTGATGCTGAAATAAAGTAGGCCAGGGCTGTATTCGGCTCCTCAGCTCATCACATTCAGTTGAACAGTGTCATGTGAGGATAGCCTGTTTGCAACAAGACAGATATAGGAAAGAATTCCTTGGAAAAAAACATTTCCACTTAATTCTATTGTATTGACAATCAGGCTGTGGTGGAAAAAGAACGAGAACTATTTGGTAAAGCACACAGCTGAATCTCAATTTGGTGTCACTCAGTGGTGATTATGTGTTCACTCTTTACTGTTCAGATATATCTGAGAAAATGATAACTGCATCTATTGCAACTAAGGACAGTGGTGGTGTTTAAAATAGAATCCTAAGTGTTGAATGACAACACGAATCCACACGCAGATACAGTAAGTCTTCATGCATAACAAGTGGTGTTGAAGTCAAATTAACTTCATTTTTCCAGCTGCAAGTCATGAAAATAATTATTTTCATTTCAGTAATGATGTTATCGATCAAAAAGGGAAATCACTTTAATCCCCCTCTCTATATATCTGATTTAATTATCCCAAAAACATAATTAGTTCCATTTCTTGTAGTAGCTTTCAACATTATGTCATCATCCTCTAACAATGAGCTAGTTTAGAAGATAAACGGTAAGATATTTGGAGCCAAACAAGAACCAGAACATTATATTTCAACATTGCTTGGCTTCCTTTCAGATTTGCCCAGATTTCTAAAAGTTAAGGAAATGTAAATGACACTCCGGGAATGTGACACGATAGTATTATTTTTGAAATGAGAAACTTGTGAATAGCAAGCCCGTCCCTGGTTATATGATCCTAATAAGTGCTGTGGTGTTCAGTGATGAATGAGAGCTACAGCTCCCTCCTGCAGTCACATTGGAAACAATCATTCAAAGTTCATTTCCACTCAGATCCTTCCCTCTCATTCAAGAACCTGGAACTGTGCCGCACATCTGTGCATCTCTGGAGGATAACATCACTGGCTCCATTTCCTCCATCGGTCCAGCTGTGATCCTGGCCTGGCCATTTTTCATCTTCCTTCGTCCCTCTCTCAACTTCCAAGACAAAACCATAACACTTGCACTTCACAACCCTAAAATTAGGAGCAGTTCCCTTCGAAGTCAGTGGTGGAGGTGAAAACTTGAGCTGAAGATTCTAAATTCAGCAGAAATGCAACACAAGTGCTGGATTCTCAGTATCAGTACACCCTGACTGGAGGATCAGCATATATACTGGGGAGAATTCCTATTATGTAAAAATAATGATGTCAAAATATATTTTCTATATAATATGCAACGAGGAAAGAGGGATGAGGCGACCTTGGTACATTTTCCTTATTTTTTCTTGTGTCTTCTTTTGCACTTTTGTGCCATTTGTGTGTTTTACAAATGTTATAAATTGAATTCATTAATATTTACATGACCCTCATAGCTCCTATTTTTGCCTTGTTGCATCTAAGTTAAGTTGTGTGTAGAGACAGAACACAAAGCAACATTTAGAGATGCAGGGACGCATATCAAGTCAATGTAAAGGGAGTGAACACCAATAGATCCACTCTGAGCAGTGCAAATAATTGAGCTAGTTGCAATGTCTAACATACAGTTGGGACAATGGCTGCAAACAAAAACACTTGAGCAGTCAAATTGATGTTGTGGAGGAAATTTGCTTCACATTCAATCCACAGATATGCATGAACATGAATTTAGGTGTGGGCATCCAGCAGGTGGCTGTTTCGGGGTGGAGAAAAGTGTGATAAATTACCTTTGAGGAGAACTTTAGGTGAACCTCAGCTTCGTCTGCTAGGCTCCTCTTCAACTGGGCCCAAGCCTCCCCCAGAGTCCTGAGACCAGATAAGAAGGAGACTGTTTAATATCTTACACAAGAAAGGACCACACACACTTTTACATAAAGACATGCAGGGAGAGCAGAAAGTGTCTCACACACACACACAGTTGGGGTTCAGCAACAGTGTCAGTGCAAAAGTTCACGGATACACAAGTAACCAGTAAATCTAGAGAGCTGAGCTTGAGGTCCACAGCCAGTTCAACAGATGATTAGGACGTATGGGACATGAGATACGGCTCTCAGCTTTTCAACACAGCTGGGGGCAATAACACCGAGAGGGCCTGTATTGTTTTGTTGATAATCATTCAAATTAAGTTAGCCGATGCACATTGCGTAATAATTATACATAAGTTGTCTTTTAAATAGGCCACATGTCTGTTTGGATATGAAGAAAGGGAATGATTGATAATTAGCTTTGAGGCAGGAAGCCTGTAAAACAATCATCCAGCAGGCACACAGTCACAGGCACCAGGCTTTAGGTCCAGGACTGACAGGGTTTATGGGGAAGCGGGTTACTTCAAAGCATCGCTCTGAATACAGGACATGTGTGGAATTCCCTCAGCCTGTCACCCAAAACATTCCTGACACAGTATGAAGTCTAGCACACATCAGAAATGGGTCTAACAGTTTGTTTTTATAATCAAATTGTGAAATATTTTCACATCTTATGGTTGATGATTTGTAAATCTGTGGGGAAAATGACATTACAGGACATTTTACAATACAGTTAGACTAAAAGTGTCCACAGATATTAAATATTGTCCTCATAGTCAGATTTCGCTGTCACGGCAGGTTCACAATTAGTGCTTGTAACTTCAATGTCACACACAGTGTTCAGTGCATGTTCAATCACAGTTTCCTGCTTTCTTCGCTCAGATAAAGAGACCACACTGTTGTAATCATTTGTGCCCAGTGTCATTTCTTTTCATATTCAGTTTTTTTGACAGATCTGCAAAGTCTTTTTTCTACAGATTTTGTGAACACATTCACAAATTGATTTTTTTGTTTGCATGTTCATACATTCAGGTCCAAATGTCTCCACAGTTTCAGAGAAGTGATATATGCAAATGCACGACATACGTTGCTTACACAGCATGATAAGGACAGCCAGACGAGACACTTGCATACGCATTTGTGGTTTGAACTGACATGATTTATGTTTTACCCAGGAGACATAGTGGTTTGGTTGGAATGAAGAGAGTTGTAAGAATACCTAGAAACAGCCACCAGGGCTGAACAAAGAAAAGAGCGCCACATACAGAAACCTAAAATGGACTTTTCTGTTACCCAGCAAAACAGAATGTGTGTATCCTTCAGGTCTAACAAACATGTTGGATGTTCCTCAGTCAACATTTTCAAAGTCAGTTTTTCTTAAGCTCACATTAACATTCACTCATTAACATATCACATTTTAAGCTTGTGAAGATGCTATTTCATGGCATCTATAATGTGGTTTACTCGGGCCACTTTATACAGGTACAGTACAATATGTTCTCTACCTAAAAAACCTACGAGGAAAGAAAACCTTTTGTTCATTTCTCATGATTCCAAGCTGCAAAAGTTGCACCACGTTAAATGCTATTCACACAGTAAATTCCATCTGTCATGTCCCCACTGTCTCACAGTCCCCAGTGACACACAGTCACTTGCCAACAAAATACTGTTTTGAAAATACTACGCAGGGAAAATGAATATCCTGCCGTGTTCTCCCTGGATTCAACAGAACTGATACAGTGGTACCAAACAAATGGTAACTTCAGGATGGCTGGTTCTGGGCCGCGGCTGGTCCGATGGTAGGAACTGACCAACAAAACAACGATTGTCCCGTCTGACAACAGAGCTGGCCTGAGGGACAGAATAATGAAAGTATTGTGTTGCACTTTTCTGGGTGTGGGCAGACTGAGCCGGGTGGCATAATCTGGATTCTATATGGGACAATTCCAACCCACTCTAGTCCTGTCTTCCCATGCTAATATGAACAGGGGGTATTTGACATGCACGTAAAAAGTGCTGGGGAGGGTAAGCCTAGCTAAAGCTTGTCTGCACACTGTCTCATTTGCACGTTCGCCCACTTTCTTGGTTTTGTATAAATGTGAACAAACTAATCTTTGAACTGAAGTTAAAGTGAGCCGATGTAACTTTTGCTGAATTCAGAATGTACCACCACAGTAGATCCAGTAAAAGTAGTGCTAGCTAAAATTAGCTACCATATGGTGGCAAGCAAAAGCATATTGTCTGTTTAGTAAGATAGTCCAACTCACCCTAAACTGCATGCATTCTATTTATTCTAAAACACATGTAAGCACATTACTGGCAGTAACTTTATGACTTTTCCTCTTGAAACTGGTTCTAGTCTGATATTGTGATGCTGCAGTGACATTTTGTCCTGTTGCTACGCACTCTCACTGTGTCATGAAGGAATCTCTTAATAAAGATGAGTTTAATAACGGCATCTGTACAAATCACAGCTTCTTCTCTTTCTGGGTGTCTTTAGCCGTCTGTGCCCCGCTCAGCTTCCTGTCAGCTTACTTTCCATGTTCCTGAGTTCCCTCGGAGAATCAGACAAAGCCCTGCCCTCAGCATGATATCCCTCTGCTGTCAGACTGGAGACAAGAGGAGAGGTAGCAAGCTCTTTTTCCCTGCAGGGTTTCCCTTTATTCCCTTTCCCCTGCAACCCCCAACACATACAACTAAATGTCTGCCTCCTCATCTTCACTCTTCCTCTCCTCCTTTATTCTGTACCCCCCTTCTCCCCCTCTCCGCTCCTCTGCTCTTTCTTAATAGCTGAAGTATGCTGCAGGACAGAGATCAAAGCATCTAGTGATTTACTGGAAGGCCATACGGTTTCACAGCATCACTGACAGGGCCTCCAGACCCACACTCACACCAGGATGTCTCGCCTGACCACCTAGTTGACTGGCTAGCTCGCCTAGGAGCTGTCTGCCTGACCGGCTAATTGACCGACTAATTTGACATTGGTGTTTATTTCCACCTAGACCAGACTTTAAAGTTAGATTATGCAACTTCTGAAAGAGGAAATAACAAATTCTCACTCTTTTAGATGAAAAGATGCATTCATGAGCACTGCACACGCGTGTTTAGTTCAGCACATTGCTTCAGCCTGACTTGGCTGTGTATGTCCAGTAGTATATGCTAATGTCAGCAAATTTGCAGCCTTTTCTAAATCAGGTGTGCGATTCATGAAAGCCCTAAATAGAATACATTACCCAGCGGCACTGAGCTACATGACGCAAGCTAGCTTTTCTGTTTCCAGTCTTGCTTTGTCTATGGCTAAAGGTCTACAGTACATAATGTTAGTAACATTATACTAGTTGCCTGTCTCCAACAGAGCAACACAAAGAGAACTGGTACAAAACTGGTACAGAGTCAGACAGCGACACAATAAAGTTTCAAATTCTAACCAACCAGCGCTAAATACAGACCAGAAGCAAGCTAATAAAGCTAATGTTTCTATGTGTAATGTAATCCAGCACTACTCTTTGCAGCAACAGCTTATCGATGTAGCATCAAAAAAAGGACATTCTCCAGTCACCTCTAGCCTACAGCAGCCAGCTACAATGTTAACTTTGGTCTGGAGCAGGGGTCGGCAACCTTTACTATCCAAAGAGACATATTTTCTACCAAATAAAATTTGTCTGGAGCCGCAAAAGCTATTTAATATCAAGTTATATATATATAGTTATATTATATATACAAAAACTATAGTTTGTTGTATTTATGAAATTATAGAACAAGAATAAAGACGATTCTTGACATTTTATTGCTATTTTACCTGTTATAACAATATCAAACTCTTATGAAGAGGAGAGTTTGCTGCAGCAGTTGAGAAATCGCTCTTTTTCGCTCATCTCCAGTGTGACACTTTTCAGCATATGCTGTGTGCTTGTTCTGGAAGTGACTTTCAACATTACATTTTTTGTTGTTTGCTAATTTCTCGCCACATTTCAAGCATACAGGTAAGCCAGCATCGTTGGCAGTGAAAGCAAATGAAGATGTCCAAGCAGAATTAAACTCTCTATTTTCCTCCGTGACTTTTCTTTTTTTGGGATTTATCCATCGATAGTTTACCGAGGGCGAGGGTCTGCAAATCATGATTAGCCACCCGCAGGGAAAGGCACCTGACAGCGACGTAATAGGATGTGACGCACATTTTAGTTGACAAAATGTTATTTTCAGTGACACAGTATCACCTCAAACTCCAAGATAAGAGGTGTTCCCTTTGAAAGATTGTCCACTGTGCAAAAAATTAAATAAAAATAACTTATTTATTTCCATGTTATTTTTGGTGAAAGCCTGAGGCCATGTCCACACTACTACGTTGTTGTTTTGCTATGTTTACACTGAGCGTCCACACTACGCCGGAAACGGAGGAGTTTGAAAACTCCGGGGTTACCGCTTCGTGTGGACGCTCATAAACGCATAAGTTTAGAAATGATGACGTAGACACCCACATTCGTACTTGATTGGTTCTTAGCAGTCACGACGTGTCCTTCCCTGATTCGTCACGCCCCTATCACGTGACCCTTACCTGGAAATTCACAAACATGAGCATGGCCAGTGTACGTGAATATTAGTTTTCAGGCGTTTTAATCTGGACGGAGATCATTTCGAAAACGATGCTGAAACGCAGTGTGGACGGAGATCGTTTTTGTTTGTTAAAACTCCGTTTTACAACGAAAACGTATTAGTGTGGATGTAGCCTCAGGGAGCCGCAACAGAGGGGCTAAAGAGCCGCATGCAGACCCCTGGTCTAGATGAACAACCAGAGTCTGGCTGTTTTTTAAAGCAGCAATCAGCAGGAAGCTATTTACCTAGTTGTGAATGCACATCTGACCCCAAGACCTGCTACAGCCTTTTCTAAATACTCGTATGCTTCTCTTTAAAATACATTTATGTGATGAACATTAGCAAGATCTCCTCGTATTAATAGTCCTACATTTTCGACAGAAATGTAGGACTACTATAATGTGAGAAAGGGGAGTACTTTTTTCCACTTCAAGCACTGTGTGTAATTGACATCATTTAGCCAGTTTGCTGACTTTATGACTTTTATCTAGTTGTGCTTCTGTTACACTATGTTTTAGAATTCATCATTATCCTGTAATTGTCCCGTTAGTTTGGCAAGACGTCCGTGCGACGCAACTATGTTTGATTACAAATCCAATCAAGGCATCAGAGAAACAATGAAGATTCTACTTCAACGATTCATTGATTACTTTGTATAATTTGACCATAATGTATTTCAAAGTCAGCTATCAAGATTAATTCAGTCAAATAATGAAGGGAATAATTGCTATGCTGACCTGTGGACTCACTACACGGGTGAATCTGCTGTAGCACAGCTGTCAAAATCAACAGTCTTCCATTGCCTTGCATGAGCATGGACTTTGGCCAATCCTAGCGCTTGCATGCTACGCAGGGCGGGTCTTGCCGAAAAAAAGCAGTGGGCTTCATAAGTAAACGTAATTGTCACTTGCACCATCGTCAGCAAAAGTTGCAATGTCACTTTATTGGAGAGACTCAGCTACAGTATATGATTTCTATGATTGATCAAGCTTTCAACAATATTTCCAGATTAATTGTTTTGTTTATAAAATAGTAATATCTTATGTCCAAAAATAAAAGGAAAATGCTTCAAAAGAGCATATTTGACCAAACTACAATCAAAAACATATTAAATTTGCAATGACTTCAAACACAGAAGCAATTATCACATTTGAGAAGCTGGAACCAGAGAATGTTTGACTTTTTTGCTTTGTTTCTTTACAGCCATTTATATGTTTCCCAGATTGTCAATCATCTGATACTAAATCTCCACAGATTCATAGCTGTTGTTCTGCAGCTGACCCTGACCTTTAACCCTCTTGGAAAGAAATAGGCCCTCTATGGTGCAATAAAGTATCGCATTCATATTATTACAAAATATGCTGAGGAGGTAGAAGCCCAAAAACACATCATTTACAGCCTCCTCATCTCTAGAGCGCCTGCATCGTGGAAATACTTATTCTTTTAAGATTTAACATGTTGTTTTTTAATTTTTGTCCTAACCGGCCATGTGTGTGAGAAGCTACTCTATGATGAGATGTGCTTTGTCTCTCTCCTTCACTCACCCTTCTTCCTGGCTCGCTAGAGGGATCTGGGAGAGCTTGGAGAGATTCTTGGCGTACTCCTCTTCTATCTTTATCCTGAGAGGGAAGTAGAGAGTTTCATTACCTCACAGCCTTTACGCAATCGGACTGTTTCCAAGTGTGTTTCCTGTGTTGTGCAAAACAGTAATGCACATGAATGAGCAAAGAAAAAGGGGAAATAGTTTGTTGTAATGACAGCTGTATGGTTTTCATGGCAATCTGAGGATGAAGTGTGAAAAAAGACAAGGGGAGATGGCTGATACCTTTCTCGTATGAACTCTGCCATCTCTTTCTGCATTTGTTTCCCCTTCATCTGTTTTTGCAGCAAAACCTCAAATCCTGTGATGCAGCTGTTGCCCTGGGGATCCTTCTTATCAGTCTACGAGACAAACACAGCAAGCAAATGACAGATGCATTGAACAAACCAACACTTAACAAACATGAACACAAAACACTTTGATCAAATAAACTGCATGCTGCATGCTGGGAGAGAGGCTGTATTAACACACAAGGCAAGTCCATCTCTGATATGATGGATTTGATGTAGTATTAACTCAATAAGGTATTTATGTTGCTGAAAACCTTTGAAAGTGTAGATCAATTTATATTCAGCAGCAGGCCTCTCTGATACTCCCACTGAACACTATCTGTCCAGCACTAAGCCCCGTAAGAAACCTAAATTGCTCAAATGAATATGAATATTGTTGTTATATTTCTTATGTGGACAGACATGCAACACAAATAAATGCAAATGTTCACTGTGTGGAAAACCTTTGCAAATACATGTTTGCTAATTAGATGATAATAAGTCATTGTTGTTAGACAGAAATAGAAAAAGAAAATAGAAAAGTGAACCTGTGTAAAATAACTCACCTAGAATCCTAGAAACACCTGTGTGTCAGTACCAGTTTTAGTCAGTTTAATTCTGAATGAAAAGACTACTAGCAAGCACTTATTCTGTCTGAAATCGTTCCTGCATATGCACTGTTGGTTAGACCCCATTACTGTACAAACCCAGTTCTGCACACATATGATCAGGACATCAGGTTTTTCCTGACATTCTCCTCAGAATTCAAGCTATGCTAACCACATTATACTAATCCCAATAATGTGTTTCTAGTTTACATGATTTAAAAAAACAGATTCATGTAGAAAGGCAACAGTAAAGTGGTTACTTAAGAGCATGTTAACAAACTGTAAGTCAAAGTCCTGACAACAGAGGCCAGGAGCAGCAGGTTTGAGAGTGACTGAGCTGCCACTCCCTGGCTCTGGTGTCCACTCTCCCGACTCACTCTTTCTTTCCACTGTGTTGTCACCTCTGTGTGGATGACTCCACCACACCTGGTAGAGATTACACTGCAGGGGTGGACGATGTCTAAACAGAGCAGCAGAGGCCAGCTGGCTCTCTGCTCTCCAGACCGTTACATGTAATGTATTACCCTACTGGATCTTATTAGAGCCTATGCTGAATCTCAGCGTGCAGCACAGGCAGTCTGAGATCAATATGGAGTCACGTTTAAAATGAAAACAATCCTTTTCATTCATATAGACTTAGTAATTTACCGGGGAGGGCAGCAGTGTCAGCTTTTAAAATGATTCATCTAGATCTTTTCTTTCATCCACTTTCCTCTGTTTTGTCATCTTCGTAGTCTGAGGAGTTCTTGTTCCTAAAACTAAATTGTGACATTTTAACATCCAGAACTACAGTAATGTTTCACTTTTAAAACCCAATGCTGTTTTGCTCATTTCTTACTCCCTTACTTACAGTGCATTGCCACTTGACATGCACTATATTGTTTTTGTAGGCATGCCATATATTGTTAAATTAGAGAAAAATGAAGCTACTCAGAAATGCCATATACATGAGTGTGTGTTTGTGTGTGTGTGTGTGTGTGTGTGTGTGTGTGAGAGAGTCTACAAAGTCTTTCTTTGTGAATAACTATAATAATATCGTAATATTACCTGTTCATGTATCTGAACGGAGAGGATCTAATGTTGGTGTTCAAAGGATGTAAAAACATCTTCATGGGGTATTCTACACCTTAGTACTGTCAACAATATAAAATACTGGATGGATTTGGTCACTTTGTATTTACATTAGTGATGACTATGTTCTGAGTCTTTAGCCCTTGTGAAAGTAAACTATTTAAGCATTAGGTTTATAATTCATTCATTTGTAGAACAGATATTCAGAATACAAAATGTATAACCTTGCATTCTGTTATTTTGTACACATCTATGGTTCCTGTCATGCTTTGGGGGATGTAAACAGGAAGTACACTGTCACGTTGCCATGGAGTCAGTAGCAACCCCTCCCCATGTATAATACATTCGTTTACTCAACAATGAGCAGGCAACTGTCATTTTTGCATCGATATACAGTAACTGCATTGTGAGAAAGTTAGCAGAAAGTTGTACTGACATGGAAATGATTGTTTCTGGCTCCCCTACAGGAAGTTTTGAAAAAACTATATAGTGCATTCATTTAATGACTGACAGTAAATATAGTGCACTATGTAGTAGATAGAGATACAGCCTGGGAGTTAGTTGTAGTGTATGAAACCATAAGTCCGTCTTTGCACAGCAACAATTATTATTTCTGAAAGATAAAAAAAAGTCTGAAAAGTCCCAAATCATACATAGCATGTTTTACATGATTTCTAAATGAACATCAGGAGATAAAGTTTCACTGATTCCAGCAGTATGTGTACGGCCTCGACTTGGGTTAGAATTCTGGTCTTGAGCTAAACCCTCAGACATACTACAGACATTAGCCTCATAAATGCTATGGTGAATTTACCCAGAAGAAGTCACAGTAGCTCCATTCGTTTGGTTTTAGCAGCTGTTGCTCCGGCAGGCATGCAAGAGACGGGAACGTCACACAGTTAACCTGAGAGAGAGAGAGAGAGAGAGAGAGAGAGAGAGAGAGAGAGAGAGAGACAGAAAGAGAGGAGGGAGAGAGGGAGAGAGAGAGAGAAGGAGGGAGAGAGGAAGAGAGAGAGAGAGGAGGGAGAAAGGGAGAGAGAAGGAGGGAGAGAGGGAGAGAGAGAAGGAGCGAGAGAGGGAGGGAGCGAGACGGAAAGAGAGAGCAGCACAGGGAGAGAATACAATTTAGCACATTATAGTATGATGACAACTTTGCTTGGATGCCGCTGTACTGTACAGCAGCACTGTTGGTGCTCCATGTGTTCACAGGCTTATACTATGGTATTCAAGGTAGTCTGCACTTGGTTGCTCTGGCAACACTCTCATCTCAGAGGCTCAGAGAACAAATCAAAGCAAAGAAGACATTTCCAATGGACCCAGTATTGTTGATTCACATTTCTATCCGCCCGTCCTTGGGGACACTTGTCAACGCAGAGCCTTTGTGGTTCTCAGCTTTTTGGGATTCATCAATCAGCTCTCTACCACAACACTCTAAACTTCTGCTCTGGCCCACAGCAATCAGCACAATGATTCCCAAAGATTGCCTTTAATTATCTTGGTGCAGTTAATTGTGTGCTCGCTCTGCCAGCAGCAGTGAAGTTGAATCTGCTGGCTGCAGGTCTCCCTGCTGTGAGCTGCTGGGTTCTGCTTTGGAGTTACACTCGATAGGACCGAACGTAATGCATGGCATTCCCCCTTGTGCTCGGTGCACTGCTTTTATACTTTTCCTTTCACTTAAACCTCTAGGGTTGTAGGGGAGCCAGAAGACAATCACCGCTTAATGAAATGCATTCACACAAGATAATCAAATACTCTGAAATCAAAGCTGATACAAATGCACACAAGGCTCAGGTGTGACAAGTCATCACTCTCAGGCTTAGCAGAGCAAAAACTCTGGTTTCCCATTAAAATACAAAATGTTGCTGTATAGATTCTTCAGCGGCAAATTCAATTTGTCATGACAAGGAAAGAAGAAAGGAGAGAAAGAAACCTCACATCTCATAAAGAAAATAAATCAAAAGCCATGTCTTCACAATAAAGATACAGACAGAGACCAGGTTCAGCAAAGACTCCAGGCTCTTCTCTCACATTCATTCCAATTAACCTCAGGAGGAGAGAGCCTGCAGCGAGGATGCTCTGTTTCTATAAAAAAAATGTCAGTGGCACCAGAGAGCCTCATGCAAAGACTCTATTTCAGAGCACATCGACAAATATGGTTCTGCTGATGACTATTCCAGAGACAATATTCAGATTGAAATACAAGAAGAAGAAAAAGGCCTCTAATTCAACCTTATCATGCTTTATGAAGCTTTTAATTTGTTGGAGGGCATGGCTTTCCATTGAATCACTGCTAGAGGGGCTTTAAACTGACCCCCGCTTCCTTTGGTGAAGATGAGGAGAAGGCTACAATGAAAGCATTCATGCACACACTGCATCTGGCACATTCTTTCCTGACCTTCAGTCATCTCGATCAACTAACCATCCACCAAACCCTTCCTCAGAGTATTGGACGTCCAATCTTAGCTTAACACTCATAATAGGCAGCAGGCCTGCCAAGCTTTGGTTGCCCAAGTGCTGCTAAATAGCTAACCTGCACTGTAAGAATGCTTCTGCATAACTTTTTGCTTGGTACTTGTACTGTAACCTCAGTCTTTTAGCCTTATAGCATGTACAGTATGCAGCTACAAAGATGATTTTTAAGCCCCTCTTACAGGGTTCTCGTTTTTAAAAGATCAGATTACAATCAGATGGTGCTTGACCACATGAAAGTAAAGGCACACAAAACACATTAAGGACGGATTGTGATCCGATTGGATCATTGTTACCACATTGAACACAAGAAAAAATGCAATTGCATTGGCAGGTCGGGTGGGTGTGGTTATTAAAAACATTTGAGCTGGACAGAGCAATCAGATCTCCAGGTGTAAATGTAATCGCCTTAAATCACATCTAGATACAATCTGGATGGGAGGTGCATTTTAATGCCTGGTGTAAAGGGGGTCAGAGTTAACGTTATCTTAAGCAGATTAAAGCTAGCAGTGACAGTTCTCTTTTCAGCGAGCAAAATCGACAGACTAAAAACAAGAAGCTGCTTTTGTCTACTTCTGTCTGAAATTGAGTAAATCTGCCACTCTTACTATTATAATCTGCATATGTGCCGTAGACAAGGGTCACATGACCTCTTCAAGTCTTCACCTTTAGCACACAGTATCACTTCTCTTTCTCTCTGCGTCTCCTCTTGTATCCATCTGCTTATCAATAGCACCACCCTGGTTTCTATGGAAGCCAAGACATGCAACATGCCCCCCCCCCCCCCACCCCCTTATCTCAAGCTTGTGGTTTTAAATGTACAGTAAGAAAATAAATCTTGAGAAAATAGAAGTCAGAGAAAAATCTATAATGTCAGAGCAGCAGCACCTCTACAGTACCGAGCGTAAGGCCCAACAGGATGCGATGACCTGACAACAGAGCAGAAACCATCTGGATGCTGAATAGGATGATGTCACTGTGTATCTGTAAGCAAGCACCAAACACTTGTCAAAAGAGTGAATGGGTAGAAATATAGAGAGAGCAACACTGAAGAGGAAATGTAACTCTTTTGCTGCTGTCCTATGGTCTGATATAGTTTGTATATAGTCCCAATGTGTTAAATATGTGTATTAATGTATTTTATGCCCACAACTGATGCAGCAAAAATTAAATCCCACCTGGGTAATCTACACTCCTGGAAATCAAAGTAGGGGACAAACATACTCCAGCTCTCCTCTGCTGGTATCAAATGTGGTCCCTCAGGGTTACTGTATAGAGCCAGGGTGAGTTCATGGTAAGTTAAGAGTTCCCTTCAGTTGCCCCACTCACCGTGACCGTGGTCTCCTTGTTCTGTTTTCTGGTGGAAGACGTTGATCCTGGGCTCTGCGGAGAGAGGAAGGACGCTCCGTCAAAACCTCCGTCCTCCGTGTCAGACATGACTCCTCAACATACACACACACTCACTGGCACGCACACTAACACAGTTGTTTTCCTGGCGAGTGCTGTTAGCGTCTCTCTGCTGCTGCTGCTGTGTTTGTTTGTGTGTTTGTGTACGTGTGCGTTGCTGTGCAGAGTAGGGAGGATAGTTCTGCAGAGCAAAAAAGCATGGTTGGCTTTCTCTCTCTTTGTGTGGGAGTGTGGATGTATGTGTGTGTGCGTGTGTGTGTGTGTGATTTTAAGCTTAGAATAGAGTAATTTCCAGCATCCTAAATTAACCACCAGAGTGATAATGTATGGAGGGGATAGAAATTATGAGAGAACAAATAATATGAAGTAAGATGAAAAGTATAGGGGATTCTAGACCTCTTCTCCTACAAAAAATGAAAGATAGAGAAAAGAATCCGCAGTAATGAACGCTTACTTAAATTTTTTGAATGACTGCACGAGTGTAAGAGGCAGCCAAGGAGAGAAGTGAGGACACAGAGTGAACAAGTGGTGGGTGGAGAACTGCACCCTGACTGCCTGGTTAATTATGATCAATGGAATAGATACTCTAGGATGGATTAATCTGCTCTAACTGCCATCAGCCTCTCCATTAATGATGAGAGCGATCTGAAATGTGGAAAGACTACATCATACATCTTTGGTATCAAACACAGACACTTTTTAATGACTCTATAAAAATGCTATGCTAAAGCTGAACTAATCAATATTTTCATATTTACAATAGATTAATTGACTACATGTAATAGGAAAGGGAATCATCAGTTCCCCTGACGTCTTATAGCCTGTTGTTTTTGTTTTATGGCCCGCTGTAAAGATTTGACTGTTTACATGTACTCTCAAAGATTGGCTCGTGGGATACAAAAACACCCACTTTCACTTCTTCTCTATTTTCCCAATGCACAGCCATTCACTCCCACCTCTGGCATACCACTGTGCCAGGAGGAGAGCAGATGGGAGCTCTGGAGAAGTAGTCCGCAAGCGGTGGGTGTGCTAGCTTGCTAACGCTAATTCTTGTCTCATTTGTGGTCTGAAAAACAGTAGCTATATCAGTATATCCATGTACCGTACGTATTCATCCTAAAACAACAAACCAAGATGAGCTTTATTCATATGTTATGACACTGGTCAAATAGTCTTTGTAGGCTATGTGAGGACATTATTAGCATCAATGAATGTTGAAGTGCTTGCTCTAAACTATCTGGCTTTGCTTGGCTAGCAACCTAGCTATAGTTAGTAAAAATGACTTACGTTAATGTAACACTATAGTTAGCTTAGTTTGCCCCATATGTTTCAAAGTCACATAATGGTAAAATTATTTAAGAATGAGTTAAACCGTACTTAGAACCAACTTCATAGCCACTGATTCAACTGACACGAACAGGACAACGAACTTCTGGGCAACAAAAAAGAAAGAAAGTCAATAGTTCAGGCTCTGGTAACTGGTTGTTCCTGTTGATTGATCTACGTACGCGGCTACAATCAGACCTATCTTGGTGCAGCATGAAGCTGTGTGCAACCTGTCGTGACTGATAAACTTAGATTTAGCATTAGCAGCTGAAGAGTTGGTGGAGACCAGAACAGAGCTAAAAGGAGACTGAGTATTAGACCAGGTGGCCAGAAAAACAACTTGCTTTGATGCTATCTGTGTATGTAAACTATTTGAGCACATATTAGCCATAATCAACTTTAGAAGGTCACAATGTGTCAAATGTATCATTTCCAGCTTAGGCTACTGATCAAAAGTAGCCCAAAAACAGAAAAATGCAATTCCAAAACCCAGCTCTTGTTAAAAGAAACTCTATGGCCATGGTCTGAAATTAGCACTTGCCACCTGCCAAAATGCAGGTAAATTGTAGGCAGTGGCATCTAAAAGGCCACATGCCACTTTGGTGGACAGGAAAAATGCATCACAGAAAGACACATCTAGTAAGGTTAGGCATCACTGGATAGAGCTAGTCCAAATGATGTGCTCTGTGCATGAGAAATGGCGTTGGTGTAAAAAAGGAAGTAGTATGATGCCGACATGGCCAGAGTTTATGCTCACTCCACAAATGTTTTCGACTGCAGTGGGTGTGTAACATGCTGTAAAGGAATAGGAATAACAATAGTCAGACAGCTTTACCTGTGGCTCTGTGCTGCTCTTCCTAACCAGACTGTTGTGTGAATGTTCCACATGATGCAAGGGACTACCACCTGAGTGAAATCCATTCACTGGAGGGAAATAAGAGGAGGAGGGAGAAATCAGGACAGAGAGAGTGAGAAATTTCATTAGTTCTTTGGTGTCGGCAGATGGGCTGTAAACTTGTGCTGATCCAAGGAGATTTTACTTATCTTTATGAGTGAAACCAAGCCAGTGCTGAACTGTCATTTAGTTTTTGTAGCTAGATAAATGTCTTTAATGCGGCAAGCACAGATAGTCAAAAACAAAGCTCTGGATTGGTTTAGGCTAGCTATACATAAATCATCACTAAGTTTGTGTGTAAAGTCCTTCCTAAGTTAAGTGCTAGCTAGTTTTAAACTTACAAAATTGTGTTTCACTATTAACTAATTCATGTCTTAGCGAGTAAAGACTATACCAGGGGTCACCAACCTTTTTTAAACTGAGAGCTACTTCAAGGGTACCGAGTAATACGAAGGGCTACTTATTTGATACAAACTTCCTGAATAACAAAGTTGCACAGATCACCTTTTAATAATAATAATATATGGGAAGAGACTGTTTGATTAGATGTCAGTTAATTATTCCTCACAATAATTATTAAGAATGATTTCCACAACAATGATGGTACACATATATATTTAAACATGCAACTTTTATTTCTGTTAATCTGTTTCAATATTTGAAAGTCTGAGATATCACATCTCTGATATTTTTGTATCACATGATTAAAGCCGGTTACTTTTGCACATAGCGCCTGCTGGTGAATGATCCAGTGGTAATGTAGAAATTTTGTGAAGTCTGGGTCACCTTTACATTGCGCAATGAAGCCTGCATGCCGGCCCGTCATCGCGGGAGCCCCGCCTGTTGTCACCGACACCAGCTTTTCCAATGGTACCTTTTTCTCCACGAAGAAACTAGTAAACAGTCTCGTCTATAGCCGAGCGGGGGATCCAACCCTCCGAGGCGCGCGAGCGTCTTCGGGCGCCCGCGTTCAAAACCTCTAGTCTGGGCCTTTTCGATCGGATTGCCCCGCGGCCTCTTCCGAGGATTTACGGACCTGACGACGGGGTGCGCTCACGGCGCGCGTCTGGCGCCAACGGGAAAGGCGCCCGCCTTTCGGAACCTGAAAACCTAGTGCGGTGCAGCGGCCTCGTCCTGGCTGTCCGCAGTGCGCCTCCGGGTACCCAACTCTCTTATGACAAGAAATATTGACATTTTAAAATCTACACTAATGCAAGCGTTTTTGATTTAAAAAGAACAGCAACTACAATTTTAGACGAGCTCCATGGTGACTAGTGCTATTTTTACAACAGGCCTTGCCTGCGACTCAAGTGGTCCCTGAGGGCGGGCGACGGGGTGCCCGCAGGCACCGTGTTGGCTACCTCTGGACTATACTATATAAAAAGGAAGTTGCAGTAGCATCACAAGCTGTTTCATAACTGAACTGAACTGATTTTAAATGTAAATACCATGAGTTAGAGTGAGTAGGACATGTCCAATTATGCTAAGCTAACCAACTTTACATTATTTACATAGTTTGCTGAAGGTTTTGTAATTTGAGGCACATCATATTATTTTTGCAGCCTATGAGGTGAAATTAAAAATCTGCCCATTTGGCATCGCTATTAAACAGCATTTTGACCAAGTGTCAGATATGTCAACCGTATTCCATATTAGCTTCCTCTTTTACTCTTCACATATTAGCAAGCTAACGTTGTCAGTTGGTTTAGTTACTGTACATAACAGTTACAAGTTCAGTTGACTACACAGCAGTTACTAGACGTATTAGGGACAACTAATCTCTACATAAGAACTGGTTTCATGTTCTATTTCAAAGTATCTCAGTATGTATCAGACACGTTGCTGTTTGGTTGGGAAGTGATACAAATGAATGGGGGCTGCTCCGAGCCTTTGAGCACTTCCTCTAGTGGGAAACGCCACACACACCTTACTGTCTCTCTCTTTTTATCTGTCTTTAGAACTGGGGCCAAAAGAAAGACAGACGGGGCTTAGTGCTGCATTTGCAGTTCCACATAATTTGTCACAGGAAGTGTGTTTGGAGTGCATGAGTGTTTGCTTTGTGCCACTGTGGAATTTTAGAGAAAATCACAACCCCAGAGCACTAAAACTTGAGGAAGGTGAAGTGATGAAGAGTTGAGATGAAGAGAGAGATATTTGTAGAACCTGTTGGCAGGGAGTTCTTGTGTCGGAGGGAGGTCCTGGGGGTCCCAGGTGCACTGGACGGTCTCTCCCATGTCGTCTCTGATGGAGTGTTAAGGAAAAAGGGGGAGATGACATTAGGAGAGCAGTACCAGTTCTCAAATTCTTTTTGTCAATATGTCAACAGTGTTGAAACTATTTGTTCCTTTTGGGCAATAATAAGAGGAAGTGATTCCATCTGCGGGCGCAAACTAGGCACTTGTTTCAGTCAGCAGCTAAACTATAAAAAAGGCACAGGTCTTACAGTACAGTTGTTTTTATGACAATGTGACTAAAATGGACTTTTGTTTCTTCATTTGTTCAGACATTGTTCTCACGTTCTGTTTTGTCCACAGCCGTCGATTTCTGTCGACACAGAAGTGTCAGCGTTTTCTAGGAGCAGTTTACTCACTACAATCAGAAAAATATGTCAGGATAAATGGTAAATGGTCTGTACGCTTTTCTAGTCTTTCCAACCACTCAAAGTGCTTTCACACTACATGTCATCATTCAGCCATTCACACACGCAGGAGCTACCATGTCACCTGCCCATCAGGACTATCTAACATTCATACACCATAGGCACAGCTACGGGAGCAATTTGGGGTTAAGTGTCTTGCCCAAGGACACATGGACATGGACTAGCCGGGGATCAATCCGCCGATCCTCTGATTGAAGGACGACCCTGCTCCCCTGAGCTCTCCACAGTATGAGTTGCTATTTCTACAAGTCAACTAACAACAACCTGTGCAGCTGGGTTCATCTCATCAATGCATGCATTTTTGTGGCTAGTTTTCTGATAGAGCTAGATAGCTAGCTAAATTCTGAAGGAAGAAGATTCTTAATCCAGCCTAAAAAGCTCTGATTGGGTGACTGTCTCAACCTGCTGATGAAGCCGCCAATGAGGACAATACAAGAACAAATCAGAGATAGGTCTGGAACCCGGCAAGACCACATGTGGGCCTTGTTATCAATCTCTTGCTCCATAATTCCTCAACTTTTCTTAAACAGACTGACAGCATCTGGCTAACATTCTACATTTCAACAGTCAAGTTGGTTAAAACTATAACCATGACACCAACTAGTCCAGGGGTCAGCAACCTTTAATCCAAAGAGCCATTTTGCCCTATTTTCCACCAAATAAACGCATACATTTGGAAATGATCATGTGTTCGGTACTTGATTGGTTCTTAGCAGTCACAACGTGTCCTTCCCTGATTCGTCACACCCCTATCACGTGACCCTTGATTATCAATCGACTACCAGGTTAATTCAACATGGACAACTGATTACAGGCATTGCTGACCTTGTTGTCTTTACTAGCAGCTGTTGTTCAGTTAAAGTCTGCATTATTATGGAGGAAGCAGCTGCTATTGGATCGATTAGTGAGCGGCGTGTCCAGTGGCGTTATCAGACCTTATTGTTTATTTTTATTATTTCTTAACTATTGTGAAGTCCACACACATAAACTATAAAGGAACAAAACAGTAAATGCTCTCCAGTAGGACAAAGACTTCAGCCACCAGCAGCTAAGAGTGAGAACAGAAACAACGACACAGAGGAAACGAGTGAGAGACGTGTGTTGACCACATTTATGGACCCATAATCTAGTAAACCTTATGTGTAAGTGTTGGTTTTAAAGTAAATTTGATGTGTGAGAGAGAGAGAGAGAGAGAGAGAGAGAGAGAGAGAGAGAGAGAGAGAGAGAGATAGAGCAAGACCCGCAGTGCTGTAACTAAGTCTGAAAAATAAAACGTCTACAACTTTCCACGAAATTTGTCTGTTTGAGTTTACAGAGGAATATTTTCAGTCATTCTTTAAGACTACTTTATTACTCTGTCATATTTTTTAAACTTAGCAACCAATCTACTTCCTGTTTACACCGGCACCCACCCGCATGCCCAGTGTACGTGAATAGTCACGTGATATTCGTTTTCAGGCGTTTTAGTCTGGAAGGAGATCCTCTTGAAAACGATGCTGAAACGTGTGGACAGAAATCGTTTTCATGTTAAAACGTAGTAGTGTGGATGTAGCCTCAGGGAGCCGTGGGTTGCCAACCCCTGAACTAGTCATTAGTTGTATACTATTTCTTGCTATAAATGTTTTGTTTGTTTCATTTGTCTGTTTGAAAGTTTGTTTGTGTGTCGTCATGGATGGCTGTTTATGTTTATCATTATTATTTGCACAGATCTGAAACTGTAACATGTAACTTTAATGATTTCTTCAACTATCAATGCCCATCAAAGGACTGGTGCTGTAAATGAGCTTATATACACGTGTTCAGTACATCAGACTCCTCTGTACTTTTCCTTTACAAATTAATAAATAAACACAGCTAAGTATTAAGTTACGGTACTTCTGTTTTTAGATTCCTAAATAGAATGAATTATATATATAATATATCTCAAGAAAACAAGTGACAGCAAACTATAGACACTTATGCGCTCCCATTGCATAACATTAAAAAAACAGCTGGCCACCATCATGACTAAAAGCTGGTTAAAATATCCAAGTCCCAATTTTATGAGGGTTTTTTCTACAAGAACTCAGTGCTTCAAGATGAGTCATCAAAAACATGTTCACATTTTACAAGAAAAGAAGAGAATTTCTATATGTATGACTCATACTTAGCATGTAGCAAGATTGAATTAACAGATGGATAAAGGATTAGCATTTTGAAAACGTACTCATTGCACTGTCTTTAATAAAAATGTATTTTGGGATATGTTAACTTGATTGACAGGTGTCTCTGCAACATGTGGTGATTGTCACATGTACGATGTGCTCAGATTTATATTTTGTGTTACAGTATCTACCAAGAATACTTTTATCACATCATGACCAGAATCAACAACAACTCCGAGCTGGAAAACCATACTTAAATACTAGCCGTGTGTGGAAGAGCCTCATGGTGATAAAGAATGCCTTGTTCAGAAGCCACATGCCCCTCCTCAGTAAAGTGACTCTGGATAAAATCAGGTTCCTTTATCAATCATCTGCTGTCTTTTATAGTAAGGCCAGCTAAACACAACAGGTACAAGCTATTCACCAAATAAAGGGAAAGAAGTTTCATTTTGTAGGTTTGTAAAGTTCAACTGAGCTCCATAGTGGCCCTGATACTTCTCCATCATCTGTCCCCATTTGACTTCTGCTGGTGAAGATGCTGCAGAACAGGGACCGACAAAGACCCTAATGTACAGGGGCTCTCTTTGATTTATACTCCCGTGTCCATTCTCACCACAGCACCGAGCTTAATGAGCCCTTTACTGCCAGCATAGAAAGAAGAGGCACGGACATGTAAAGAGCTCTTATTTCATTTGGGCTTTTTGACCGGCTCTGCTCTATTTAGCACTGCTTTAAAGAGGAGACAACTGAGCCAAGCCCATCAGCTCAAATGACACGCATGGAGGGGATAACTGGCAGAAGGCTTATGGAGAGCGGCTGTGCCTTCACATCTGATGTAAAACACCAGCGCGCAGCCTTTACTCACTGGCCCTAAATGCCTCCATTTCTCTCGTTAGCTTGTCATAAACAAATCGATACTGTGAAAAATATGGGATATTAACTTTGGGTAATGAGTGAGGACCATTTGGGGTTCCAGCGAGAAAGTTTAGCGAAGAGAGTGTCGTAGAATACACTTTTCAGAAACTAATATAATGAATGTTACACACATCGTTAAGTCGGTTATATACCGTTACAGACCTTTTTGATATAATTTTTAATTGAACACGTCCTTTCAATATTTTTCACTCAAATGAAACATCCTTTTATATGTTTTGTTCATGTGACTGTAGGTATGAGGTGTGAAATCCCAAATGTTGGCCACGATGTCAGACACCTGAGTGGAACAGGTTGAGTTTCTAGGCAACTGGCTCCTGAAATGCAGATTGTTGATCAGTTCTGTCAAACAGGCATTCATACAGGTGAGAGATCAGACTTGGCACCTGCCAGAAGAGTCATAGCTCCAGATACAGTGATGCATATGCAGCAGCAGCAGGAGTGATTTTCATCAGCCGCCTCTTCAAAGACGAGCGGAAGTCGAAAAACTAGCCAATTACTCAGCTCAATTAAGCCACTTTACCCTTTGTGGAATAGCTAATCTGCACTTTTCAGGCCTAACATGGATCTTAATGATTTGAATTCATGATATCTATTCAGGTTTTTTTATGGAACATAAAAAAAACATCAGTTTATGCTTCTCTAATTCACCAAACATCAGTTTATGCTTCTCTCATTCACCAAAGTCAGTCACATTTCATTCCGCATGCATCTGTGGTTCAGTCAGCAGAGTGTAGCAACGCTTCAGCGGCTGGCAACTGAAGACAGTAGCTGCATTGTAGCAGATGTGTATAAGTGGATGTATGAATGAAAACAGTCAACAGCAGGTCGAAAAACAAAAAACCTGGCATCAGCTTAGTGCCCGCCAGCCACGCCACAAGTGATGCAAGACATCTCCGATTTTGAACGGGGAGATGCAGAGAGTGGCCTAGTTATAGCTTTGACACAGCTATATTTTATTCATGACCATATGACACTTGGCCTTGATACATTAGCTACCTACTGTCTCTGACTATGATCAGTCAAAACAGCTCATTCAAACTGCTCATTCAAACTCTGTATCATCCCAAATAGGAAAGTGAGTGGTTAAGGATCTCCTCTCATAGCAAGCAGAAGATACACTGTAGCTATTGCAGCATCTACAGTTGTGCAAGACGATAACAGCAGATGACGGCAGGCTGGAGTATGCATTTTAATGACAGCTGAGCAGACAGTGGCATTGCGACTTAATGAATACGTTTACATGCACTTTCATATGCCACTATTATTCCAGATATGACAATATCCCGAATTTGATGTGGCTCATATGAACATCCTATTCTATTTGGATATTCTGAATTAGGCCTTATTCCGAATGGAGCATTTTTCCGATCACGACGTGGGATATATTGATATTATTTGGGTTTTAGGAGCATTCTTTGGACATGTAAACAGCACATTCAAAATATGCCTCTCAATAAAGGACGTTTTACGTTATTCGTAATATACAAGGAATATACTAGAGTATTCATTTTCATTAACCATGTAAACAGCTTATTAGGAATATTTTTTTTTCGGAATAAGGGCAAAAACCTGAATATGTGGTCCATGTCAACGAAAGAAGAAGAAAGAAAACCACATTTGTTGATGTAAATTTGTGATGCAAATGACAATCCAGCCATGCAGTGTAACAACGGGATGTAATATTGTTATTATACAATGTTTATGTTTTTCTATTTTAGCAGCATTAATGAAAACCTTTTTCCCACAAGATGCAGCTCAGCGAGGGTTACCAATGTGACAGTATGGGCACTTCCACGCTGGTTAAAAAAAAAACGTAAAGAGCTTCTTTTAATGCTAGCAAACTAATGATTGTTGTGTTCCAATCAAATTTGGATAGTGAACCTCAAGAACATGTTTTTCAGAAAAAGATTTACAGAAACAGAAGCTTGTGGAATAGTGGCGACTCGCTATGTGCAGACTAGCTAACACAGTATTCAGTATTAACACTTTCTAGCTACAAACAGATATCAGCTGAAGCCTGGCTCTCTTTGAGTTGAGGGGCTGGCTGCTCTTTAGCTGTGATAGGAGGGTGACTGTATTGTTTATGCAAATATAGGTTTAAATGAAATGGTTTATACTGATTTTGTGTCAAAAAAAATATTTACAGGACATATCTGTATGAGAATATCATGCCATTTTATTCAGCGTGGCTTTGTAGAACAAAGGCAGTAAAACTGCCTGTGCCTTAATCATATTCTTCCGGGCGAAAGTACAAAAGTTTGCCGCGCTTCTCCTCACACAGTGTTGCCATCACCTGTGCAACAAATACATCAAAACGTGCGGCCTGATCAGGAATCGTGTGCCATCTATTTTTTTTGTGAAAAACTGAGCAAAATTTCTCCATTCACTTGAATAGGGTTTTGGCGTGAAGAGAGCTAAAAAAAACACTTAACTTTGGGCCCATAATGACTAGCCATACATTAACGTAGAAAAATGATTTGAAGTTCAAAACATAGACAAAACGCTGGACTTTATTGAGCCAAATAGACATTTTGATAGCTAGCACAGTTTTCATTAAGTCAACATTTAAGTTTCAGGAAAAGTTTGGGTCCGTTTCAGATTTTATAATGGGTGTGTATTGCACGGAATGTTCAGCGCTAGAGTGATGACATCACGGTCAGGGTGGAGCGCAGCAGGAAAATATTCTGTGATTTTTCCAAACAAATTGCTCCAGGTCCCATCATTTTTACTCTTTATACACTATTTTTGGCCAAAATGATTGGAAATGTTGTGTCTATGGAATCCAACGGACTTACACATTTGGCTCAAAGAGCCGCAGAGCGACATGAACTCCAACCAACTGCTCCATTAGACTCCATGTTAAATCTCACCACTAATTTCTCAAAGAAAGCAGATGGTACCAGGTTTGTTTATTGCCCTGGAGCTCACATTTTTAACACCACAAACATAAAAATCACATCAGCGCGTTCGGCAGAGTGTTATCTTTCTCATGGTACCCATATTTTGGCACTCAGACTCCTGCTTTTTGTTAAAAGGAGGCAGGAATTTTGTTCAAAATCACTGTTTAGTGTAACGTTTCTTAATCAGTCTGCCTCTACAACCTCACCATGGCAAACAGTTACACGCACGCATGCTCTCTACACACACATATACACACACACACAAATGACTTGGAGATATTCAGTCAAAGGCATTGTCAGACCTCCTGTCTGTCTCTCTCTCTGTCTCTCTCTCAATGTGTGTGTCAAACATTATGATTCCGTCTCCTCCCCCCCTCTCTCCCCCACCCAGGCCCACCCTTTCAAAATAAAAGCCCCACAGAGTGAATTCTAACTGGAATGCTTGTGATGAAGTCTGTCATTTAATATCCTCTGTGTATGCGTCAAACATTATGATTATGTCTCCTCTCCCCCTCTCTCCCCCACCCAGTCCCACCCTTTCAAAATAAAAGCCCCAGGGAGTAACTGTATCTTAACATGAACCTCAGAATGAGGTTATTAAGCAATGTTCAAGTCTTTCCATCACAAATACAGAAATGTAATTTCCAAAGGTATATATCTAAGGTATATATCTCAAATACAGAAATGTATTTTATTTAATCTTTAGCTTAAACAAAAAATAATCTAAAATGTATGAATGTAGTATGAATCTAAAATGCAGAAAAGAGAGAAGCAATATCTCAATTTAACCTCAATGATACTACCGGTAATATTGGCGTATATACAGTATATATAGTATATTGCGACATCTTCGGGCAGTAGAAGCCACACTGTCAAAATTTCTTGTGGAATTTTCTAGTTTAATTTACAAACCAAATGAGGAGTTGTTCATAGTTTAGTATGAGTCAGACGTTATTCAAAAATACCTGGAAACTGAAGGGATGGTCTGTGTGCTGTACATCTACAGTACGTGTGCTGGGATTGTTGAGTATTCGGACTGGTGTGTTTATAAAGCAGCCCACTGGTCAGGCTGGGATGAGTGGAGAGTCTGGTGCAGACCACAGCACCCTGTACCGCTGCACCCAGCAACACAGGAAGGAAAACCGAGAAAAAAAACACGCCCTGACGCAAGGACATGCAGCCCTCAACCACGCACACTGCTCTGTTACTATAGCGATGCAGAATCATAAACACACACACACACACAGGACCGTATCTAATCTTGCTGAACTTTACAAAAACAAAAGGCTTCAGCAAAAATAGCAGAGATGCTATAAATACCAGTAGTTTGAGCAAAACTGTTATCAGATGGGTTTGTTTGGAGACAGTTGCTGGGGAGGTGAATGGACAGGACCACAGGCCTACAGTGAGTGTGTGTTAGCTGAGCATTCTCACTTAAGTCCTGGAGGTTTTGTGTGCCCTCAGAGACCGGTTTCACTACACCACAGCAACAATCTTCTGACCAGCTAGCGAGAGGTCACTACGTCTCCAAGCTTCTACCTCCAAATATTTTCATGTGCCACGTTGTGGTGTGACTAGGCTTTAAGAATACCAAAATGTTCTTACATGACGCCTGTTGTCACTCCGTGTGACTGGTAAACACTGCCTCTCAGAATGGCAGATTGGTAAATGGACTTGCATTTATATAGTCTTCCGACCACTCCAAGCACTGCACACTGTCAACTTTCACCGATTCACAACCACATCCATATACTTGTGGACTGGAGGATCCAGGATCGAACCGCCAATCTTCTGATTAGTTGACGACCCGCGCTACCTCCTGAGCCACAACCGCCGAGAAACCTGCACTTTCTAACCTTTATTATATCCCGAAGTCAAAGGCACGACAAGATATAAGTATCATCAGTCAGGTTCTGCAATGAGTTCACTCAGGGAGAGTAAAAGCAGGCTATGTTGCTGTGTCTGCGGAACAGATGAGGGTATTAAGCTGTCTCTATGTCACTGTGTGTGTGTGTCTGTGTGTGTGTGTGTGTTCATGGAGACACTGAGAGGTGATTGTGCGTACAGAAACAAGGCACTATCAGCAGCAGTATCAGATCTTCTGCGCCCTCTGTCTCTCACTGGTACCATGACTGCTGTACAGACACAGTGTATGTTACCTCCATTACTGACAGATGAAATGGCTCACATATTCTTATGATGAGTACAAGCTCGTCGATGGAACATTCTTCATGAAAGATATTGCTTTGGCAGGAAAGGGTTTTACATAAAGACTAAAAGGGGAAAATGAATGGTAAGAAAAATGTCAGGAGTCACCTCACAGAAACCTGTTTTCACTTAATCTTTTGCATGTTGCCTTTCAGTCACTTTGATAAGAATGAATCACAGAACAGTCCTCCCATATCACAGTAGTGAAAAAAGTACAAAAATGCCCAATGACCAATCTGGATTTGGTTATTGACTAGCCAGAATGACTTACCAGATATCTTGAATAAAAATTCGGAGACGTCATAATGTAATTACGATTAGTCAAAATGACATATTGAAGACGTGCATTCGATATAAATGCTAAAACAGCTTGCCATACAATGCCACAAGGGAGAACTGAATTGTTTATATTAATAATCAACATTTTGACTCGTGAGAATTGAGTTGTACATATCACTAATTAGAAGTACAAGTTGTCAAAATGACATTATGGACATGTTGACTTGGAATTATAACATGTATAACACAATTATAACATCTGTAATTGAGTTTGAATAGAAGTCCATGGTAAAAGTAAATAAGTTACAGATATTTATTATGAATGATTCCACTAGTAAGACAATAACTGTTGATACCTAGAATTAACATTTTGACTAGTGGGAAATTAATTGTCGATATAATTAATAAGAGTCATTATAGTCACAATTACATTATGGATGTGTTGGCTTGGAATTATGACTGGTCAAAAACAAACTGTTGATATGAATAATGAGCTATTACCACTACTGGTTATCTGTTAAAATGGCTTGTCATAGAAGGGTGCAGCTGTCAGAGGGGGGGTTTGGCATGATGTGGGCAAAGCTGAAAACCCATTTCTGCAGTCTAAAACGTGGATGTTCTGCCTTACGTTTACACAGTGAAAACTTGTTTATTATAACGAACATGAAAGAAGTTGCTCAACATTATGGAAAATGCACTCATTTGCTTTCTTTTGGAGAACGAGATGAGAAAATCAACCTCGTGTCTGTGCATTAAGTATGCAGCTGGAGTCAGGAGGTGATTAGCCTAGCTTAGCATAAAGGCTCCAAGTAATTAACATGTATCTTGTTGACTTAACCCATACATAAGCAGAATGTAAAAACTTTGATTGTGGTTTTAGGAAGAATGTGTGCTGGACTGTTACATTTCATTGGCTCTTACCGTTGCTTGTGGTGTTGACGTAGTATCGCCCTTGTGGAGACATGTAGCATCTCCACTGAGGAGGCAGGGGGTCTTTGAGGTCCTCAACAGGGAGCTGACTCAGAGAGGCTGTCCTCTGTCAAAACAGACAAAGCGAGTTTGTGTCAGTAACCACAAACAGCACAGTGGAGGTGAATTGAAAACATGTTGGATCAGCAGACAAAGATTTATTTCTCAAGGCTCTGTCATTGGAATAATTGCTGGAGATAAACAGATAACAGAAATTCAAAGAAAACCATGGATGATCGGGCTGCACAACAGTTGTAGACGAAATGTGCAGCGCTCAGCTTGGGTTCAATGTGGTTCTCATTTCCTCAAGTATTTCACAACCAGCAACCAATGACATCATAGCGGAGCAGGCTGCGATAACACCGCTGCCACACAAAGAACAACAAAGTGCCTCTGAGACCCTGAGCTTCAGAGTCAGCGCTATGTGCACACAACATACAGCTGAAGAACATAGGAGAACGTGCAGGCAAACAGCACACATCTGCTCCTGATTAGCAGGAAAACAACAGGCTGAGACCACTGTAGCACAGAGTGGGGATGATGCTGTTTGGAGACTTGGGAGAGCAAAACGAAATTCCATATCAGCTACAGTTTGGTTATCGGAGTTCATGCCAAGTCACTGAAGCATCTAGAAGAGGTTAGTGTAACTGCAAATCAGTCCAGTCTCTACAGGCTGGAAATTAATTTAACAGAATAGAGTAGGAGAAGGAGGTGGCTTTGCAGCCATCACGGACATAAACATAAATGACCGTTTGCTAAACCCCATCTCTGAACAGCCATTGCCCAATCATAAATTTACAACCAAAACTAAGGTTGGAAGGTCTGCCAAAATCCTTTCCCAAATCAAAAACAGAAGTAGTAAAAGTGTAAGGAATGGATTTGACTATGTGTTTGTCTGCTCTAATGTGAGCTGCAAACGTTATGTTTCTTGGAAGTAACATTACTTCCAAGAAGCATTTCATACTACATAAAATAGTCAATGTTTTCAGCCAACTCATGGATTTCCCACTCCGACAGCCCGCCCGCGGCCGTTGGAGTGTTTAGTATACATCTGTGTCATGTACACAACTGCTATGTAAAAGGTAGGCACTGATGCGACATATCTTTGGTAAGCTAAGATTCTTGTAATTCGATTTATGCAAACCATTTCAAGATACAATCACAACAGCAGGTACACTCAACGCCTCTGTCAGACCACCAACCCACAAACAAACGATTACAATATCGATGCAACTCAAATATGAAGCTTGACAGTAGTTCACCCATCGATAATATTCCAACAAAAATGGTCTTGTTACATTGCCAAAGGTCCAGACCATCGAATCCTGTAAAATATTTAGTCCAAAACACATTATTACATCCATAAATACCCACGGACTGATGTTGCATCATTTCAAATTAGCCGGCAGATATGCCTAACTATCTATGTATTTTCCAACTTAACTCCAGTTCACATGTAAATATTATCGGTCTCTGTATCGCAAATTGGCGGCTGCTGTCTGACGTTTCGATTGAGACCTCAATGGACCCAATAGGAGCTTCCATGTCCTATCCACAGCCTAGAACAGCTAACGAGAGTCCGCATTGAAGGACAGTGCCTGCCCCTCTTCTTTCGTGTAAAGCTCGGGCCAATTACAACCGATCGTTCTGATGACTGGCGCTTCGTATAGCCAATGAAATTTCAAAAATAATGATATACAGCTTCAGGGGGTGGATTTAGAGGCAGAACACGGAAGTCAACTGCGAAACCGCGAGTCAGGTCGCTGTGTCCGTGCGGTAAATGCAAAGTGTGGTTTTTCAGAGTTTTGGAGAATTTAGGAAAGTAAATAATGGTGAAATAACTTATAGATAGCTGTATTTAGACATACATAAGATATAGCTTGAATTATGAATACAAATTTCTACACAGCCTAGGTATGTTACTATGGTTACCATGGGTCCCCAAATGTCCTTTTTTGGAAAGCGCCTAGACATACCTTTAGTAAAACATGTGTAAAATATTCATTTTCTGTGGTATTGTTATCAAATTTGAACTTGGACTAGGTAAGGCTTCATGCTGTGGTCCCATTGTGTGTTTCAGCTAATAAGTCCCAGTTATAGTCATCTGCAGGCATCTGTTTGCAAAAAAATATTCAGGCGGAAATAAAAACTTTCTACCTCAGTGTGTTCCAACTTCTATTAGTCAAAACCAGTAGCACGTACAGTGATTCTGACTGTTGAGGAAAAAACGTCAGAGTGTTACCTTTCAAAAGACACCAAAACCATGCATGTACTCCAAATGGTTCAAGAACAGCTTTCAATTTACTTTGGGTATGCCTTGGATAGGCGTTTTAGGCGAATTTTACAGGAGTGGTAACAGGATTTATGAAATGTAGCTTAATTAGCTTGCTAGCTATAGCTGATACAATCTGCCTGTGACAGTTTTCATTCCAGCTGTAAAACTTGAGATTAGAAGCCTGATTTCGTCTACCTCTGACTGAAGTCAAGGTCCCATTGTTTCAAAAATGATGTGTAGTGAATCCAGCAAACGCAGCAACAGTAGCTAAGACTCAGCAGTCGGTCAGGTGGTGATGCATTTGGACCTGAGATAAGGTATAAACCAGAACAAGCTATTTGATGTTTCTAAAGTCTCTACTCTGACTCTGAGAGGTCTTGGGATGCAACACTTTGGGAGATGTGTGGATCAGGGCATGTGATGGGAAACAGAAATGCTATTCATCATCACTACACACTGTCACACACCAGGGAGAGGACAGATCAGCTCTAAGCAAACCTTTCTTCATGGATATTATCTATATCATCACCTTTGTCTTGGTAATCAAGCAGCACTGAGGACGGATTTATGCACAAACTGCTCACATGCATCACCTCAGCAGAAAGTTATTGTTGGCCCTAGCTGGAAGAAGCCAGAGCTCCCAGGTTCCACAGGACTCCCCGGGTGACTTATGACTGCATGTAATTACACAGTCTCTGACAGCGCTGCAGCCATGTGTTCCCTTTGATGGTCTCGTGGTCACTGTTATATTTGTCCTTCGTGTGCTTTGAGAAACTGGTTTTCTTGAATAGTCAGTCATTTCCAACAGCAGTGAAAAGTAGTAATGGATCTAACAATTGGTAAACTCCAACATGCCGTTAAAGAAATATGAGCTATTTCCAACCACGTCAGTGACACAGTATCTCATGTTAATGTAGGGAAAGAAAATGGAGAGAGAAAATGTCAACATGAAGGCCAAACCACAGATACAGCTAAGTGCTACACTACATGTATGTGTGCAGAGGCCAGGCACCCTTCAATTGTCCAACATGGGTTATTATTACACATTTTTTTCACTGTTTCAGTGTATAGCTGGGTGAAAACAGCACAGAGTAGGCAATAGCAATGTCTCCATGAACAAATTTGATTATTTTAAGCATTACAATAGCTGTATGGAAAGTGCAAAATGAGTTCCCTTAATTGGGAAGTAGTGAGCATACGACCTGGATTATACTACAAGTCTGTTAGAGTTTGTGAAGGGATGTGTGCATATAGTTTTACTTATGTTTCCCCTCAAGAAAAACTTGTTAGCTCCGTCAGCACTGTTATCTATGAGCTGCCGGCTCAGGGGTCACCATGTTGAGAACCTTTAGGAGGCAATCAAAATGCTCCTAATCTCATATACCGTATAGCACCTCCTTTCCTTTGGAAAAAGTGAATATTTCCTAACTTTTTCACTTCTCTCTGACTCAGTATGTTACAGGTCTTACTGCCACCAGGGGTTTTACATGGTTTGCACTGATGTTAATGGAAGACACCTCTGTTAAAATGAATCCATTTTGCTTAGAAGTCTCTAAGAAAGTTCCTCACATTCAGTGAGTTTGGGAATGGGTGATATGGACAAAATACTCCATTATGGTATTTTGATTTGATATTGAATTATTGATAAATATAACATGATTGAAGTGATTTTTGCTGTTAAATAAATTGAGAAACTGTTGATGAAGATCTAAACGCTCCAGGTTCCCCTCTACCGTCAGTTAGACTGTGTTCATGAAATAGCTTCTTTACAAAATAAACTTGTCTCCACAGATAAAAGTCCTGTGTTTGTTTGACCCATCCTACACGGGCCCCCCCGCCCTAAGTCGACTACCACACTCTTCATACTGCGTGAGTTGCTCTGAGCGTCTAATAATGACATGGATGGGTTTACATTGAATTTGGTTGAAAGCCTGATTCGTCTCATACAGACGCTTAAGGATGCCTCTGTGCACTGACCAAGCGTCTCATTTGATGAGTTGGGACTGAGACCAGAATGCATATGATCATCATCAGTGAAATGATACCACAGTATAGTTTTTTCTCTGAGAAATGGTCTCAAGAGCAGGAAAAGACAGAGGGCAGGGGGCCGCTTATAGTCAAGAGGACCCGGATGATTTGCAAAACTCTTGGACATGGAGACATTTAAGGTTGTTGACGTGGTTCATTCCAGTGCTACGATTTAAAAAAACTCAATGTACCTCTTTATCTACAGTGTAAGTTTCTGTCTCAAAGCTTTGCCTGAACATTGTTGAGTCACATGAGCCCCACACATCTGACAGTCCTGTCACACACTCAAAACTAAACAGACATGAGTGAGAGAATGGGAGCACCTTGGTGGTGGGGAGTATGACGAAGCTCAGAGCCAGCTCTTCTCGCCATATGCAATATTAAATAATGCACCATTCCAGCTGGTTAACCTTCTAAACCCCAGACTGCCTTTGGCTCCACATTCACAGCATGCCAGAAAAGCCCCTGGCAGAGAACAGAGGGACCCATCGATGACCGAGGAGAAGCTGCTGAATGTGAGCTCCGCTCAACAGTCTGAGAGATGAACCTGCATTCGTCATTGCAGCAGTCCATTGAGAAACACCATCCTGAAGAAAACGAGGAAGGAGGAGGAATCCACCCAGCCTGTCCAGACTGTCCTGTCTTGACCTGTCCTGACTTTAGTGATTCATCATTATTTTGTTCAATACGGAACATGAAACAAGCTTTATTGCACTTGGAAATTCTAAACTTCAACTTCAACTTTTAAACTTCACAATCACACA